TAGCCATGAGCACGCGTCGCGGGCCTATTTTTTCTTATGCCGGGTTTTCGCAAATAGGGTCACAATTAATGGTGCGATGGCCGTAAGAGTGACACGAGATGCAGAAAGGGAGCGTTTCCTCTTTCAGGATGTCATTATAGAGCTGATCGTTGATTTCCCCCCATGCCAATGACGGGTTAGCGGCGGCCATGTAGCGGAAGGAAGTGTCGTACATTATCCAGGCGGACGCCCTAAACTTCCTGCTGAATTTACAAATCTGGTCTTGGTAGGCCAGGAGATCAGGGGCAAGGAGAGGGAAGTGGTGAAGGACTATTCGCAGGTAAATATTCCAGGCCTCCAACCAGGAATGAAGTCCATCAACCCGGCGTTTGCGTTGTTGTGAGGGGACTATAGCCAGGGCTGAGGGGTCTTGGGAGTTGACCTCTAACTTATATTGATTCTGGGCGGTCAGAGATGGGTGAGGGTATAAGTTGTCAGTCAGTAAATCAGCAAAATCAATGTACTCACGTTTGGTGATCCGCTGCAGGATTTTTTGCAGAAGAGGTGGTAGATTGTGAGCTGGGGCGAAAGTGCCAGGCGTTCCCGCCAAATTGGCTGGTGGGGGATTGTTACCAAGTGTTGACGATTGACCGACGCCATGTTGTTCTGCTCCTGAAGCGTTGATCGGAACATTTTGGGGACCAGTTGGGATGGCCGTCGGGGGAGGCTGTAGTTGCGGAGTCGCAGGAGAAAGCAATGATCTTGCAGGCGGAACTGGAGGCTGTTGTGAACGACTGCCGAGATGAGCGATCGCAGCTGGGTGATCTGCACCTCAGAAAAGGCGGTCGCTGGTGTTGGATTTTCGTCCACGTTAACTGTCAAGGGCGGTAGAGCAACGTTGTTTGAACCATCAGCGGCGGTGGAGCCAGCAGGTGGTGGAGTAGCGTGCTCGAATGCGTGAATCCGTTTGGCGAGGCGTGCCTTTGAGCCAGTTGTCACGAGATGTCGAGCCAAAGCTAACAACACCAAGCTCTGGCGCGATAAAGCCAAGAGTTGGCCAAGCTCCAAGGATGCCGGATTTACTGTAGCATTGGAAGCACGGCGACGATTTCTGGTTACACGAGGCATGCTAAAAAACAAACTTACAAGGGAAAAATAGATAGCGTGTCTAGCGTGCTACTAGTACAAAGACTGGTGTAACAAAACACATGCACGTAAGTACTGTTCATTTGAGACCTGATATGCCACAGATGGCTACACTGATAACATTCGGATAAAGCACAGGCACGCAATTGTAAATGATTGACATGGGCACTAAGTGCTGATAGCGATACCAAGTTAATGGAGCTAAAAGCATCCATTGTTTGGATATCAAGTTCATTGGAATGTTTGTAACACATTGTCGATTAAACAGCGTCTCTGAGGCCAAGATATATGATAGGCAATAAAGCTAAGCTCTTGTAGTTAACTATACTTTACAAGTAAAGTGAACACATATTTGCTAAGTATGTATAGCTGATTTCGCAGACAGTTTCCTTGAGATTAGATTACAGTTATAATTGTTGTTACAATTAGATCTATAATGATTAAAATTCACAGAAAAATTGAAGCAATTACCTTTGTGATTGTATGAACATTCTTCGCACAAGGGACGTTAATTCCCACTTGCCGTGACAAGAATCACACTGTTATTCAACAAGGTAACCGCTGACCAGTTAAACACCGACAATGTTCCCGAGAAAGTGATAACTGCGGGGAATCGCGTGGAATGTCTAGTCTAACTAGGCTTGTCGATTGTAAAGATGATATCAATGGCCATTGCTGTCACCAGGTGTTGTAATCTGTGACATGGCGAGGTGGATACAGAAACTTTACGGTTGCAATGTTCAGATGGGAAGTAAGAGGAATTCCCAAAGGGGGGGTGGGGGAGGGAGGCGAGTAATTGAATAATAAAGTAACCAAAATTAACCCCCAAATAATAACATATACCTTTACTATAAGCCCTGCTCATATTTATGTACAGAAGAATTTTTTGGTTTTGCTTCACGAGAAGAATATTATAGGAACAAATTATGCGTTTCAAAAATGATTTGGTTACATTTTGAAGGCCGGATGATTTTTTTAAAAGTGTTTGGGCTTATATTTGTTGGGGGAGGGATCTGAAGGTTTTTCCATCGTAGTTAATTCTGATTTGGGGCACTTATTTTCGGTAGGGGCACTTATTTTCGGTAGGGGGTGCTTATTTTCGGGATGGGTGGGGCTTACTATCGGTATATCATGGAACTGTGATGTACCACATTTAAAATCATAAAATGCCTGCCAAAAATGCCTCAGATTATTCGAGAAAAGGTATACAGGACAAAATGGCTAAATCACCAATTAGACACCGCAACGTTATCAGTATCTCCCCATCACTGTTTCCTTCCGAAAATAAGCGCCCCAAATCAGAATTAACTACAATGGAAAAACCCTCAGATCCCTCCCCCAACGAATATAAGCCCAAACACTTAAAAAAAAATCATCCAGCCTTCAAAATGTAACCAAATCATTTTTGAAACGCATAATTTGTTCCTATAATATTCTTCTCATGAAGCAAAACCAAAAAATCCTTCTGTACATAAATATGAGCAGGGCTTATAGTAAAGGTATATGTTATTATTTGGGGGTTAATTTTGGTTACTTTATTATTCAATAACTTGCCCCCACCCTCCCCCCCCCCCCCCTCCCCCTTTGGGAATTCCTCTTACTTCCCATCTGAACATTGCAACCGTAAAGTTTCTGTATCCACCTCACCATGTCACAGAATACAACACCTGGTGACAGCAATGGCCATTGATATCATCTTTACAATCGACAAGCCTAGTTAAGGCGGGACTTAACCTAAATTTCAATGAAATTTTAAGAGGTTTAAAGAAGGGATAGAAGAAAGAAAATAATTTTTGGAAACATTGTCGTGTTTAGGTCAGCGGTTACCTTGTTGAATAACAGTGTGATTCTTTCCCTTGTGCGAAGAATGTTCACGCAATCACAAAGGTAATTACTTCAATTTTTCTGTGAATTTTAATCATTATAGATGAAATTGTAACAACAATAATTATAACTGTAATCTAATCTCAAGGAAACTGTCTGCGAAATCAGCTAAACCAGGAGCCAGCTAAACATACTTAGGCAAATATGCCAACATGCGAGTTGTCGATTTCAAGGTCATCAAGGGTAAGTTTCTTCAGATTTGTTTGACTGTCTAAGTTTGTTACATATACCATCAGTCTATACCTCGTTTTGTCTTGTTCTTGGATTACTGTTTTCCCCCATCGAATAAGTAAGCTAAACTATCTGTATATCAAGAAATTTGATCGGCTGTTTAGTAGAGTAAATTTGACAACTACTTGCGTTTTGAGCATCAATATGCATAAATAATGAGGTCATTTTATGATTTTTTCTAGCTTTATTTGGATGAGTACTGCTAAAGTAAAGCAGTAAAACGTGTTTAGAAACTATTTATACGTGATTATGATGGAAAAACACATTATTTGGATCAAAATTTCACGCGTATGCTTGACTTCTGTTTGCCGATTAATTAGAAAATTTTGAAATACTGATAGTTCACAACGACCTCTAGGCGGTAATACCTGCTGGCCGGAAAATTTTATTTAATAGCATTGAAGATCAGGTCTTTATCTCTCCACAAATGCAGCGAAAAATCTGTGCAAAGTCTAACTTTTGAGTTATATGATTTTTTGTACACCCACTTTTAACCTTTTCGTATAAGCTGTCAATGGAGGTAACTAGTTGAAATGATGTTACGGAAACTTTAATACTACCCAAGTATTAACAGGTCATATACCTACCACCACACGGCAGGATGATGTCTGGCAATGAATTTCAAGGGAAATGAGGGGATGTTAAAATTATGAAAAAATGGAAATTTGAAGACCAAAAAATCACCATTTCGGACCCCCACGGGACCCCCCCCTCATAAATCCGTCAAAATAAAGTTAAAGCCAAAACGAAATGCGTTTTGAAACTAACCACATTAGGTGTTACTCGCATGCAAAGTTTCAAGGAAATCTGTTATGTGGCCCAAATTGGTATGAGGATCTTACAGACAGCCTCTTAACACTGTTTAAAACTACCCTACATTAATGCCGTGTTCACCAACCGTAACGAATGAAAACCTTGACAAAATTTGGCAAAGAACACCATCAAACCGTCTACAAATTCTCTCTTGAAGCACATCAATCTGGTTTACACATGTAATAGTAGGGGGTCCCTGTAGAAATTTCGGGGATGATTGCACAACAAGAAATATATTGCGTGATTTTTGTCACGCGCATTCTGAATCAACTGAAACTGATGGAAATAAAATAATGTAATTTTGCCTAGTAGTAAAAAAACAAACAAACAAACAAAAACAAGAATAGAAAGCAGCTGTAAAAAGGGGGGAGACTTCAAAAAAAGTTTAAAAAATGTAAAAAGAAGAAATGTTAATTTTAAAAAACGTTCTATAAATTATTATGTAATCATAATATCTTTTTCATTCACAACTTGCCTCACAGGCGCTTTGATTCACATTACCATGAAAAATGTGGAATTTACATCCACTGATGGATCCTATGTCCCCTTTCTTTGTTCACTGCAAATACTGGAGCGGCTGAGTACAGATGAGGATTGACACCATCTGACTGATTTATTAATGAATCTGATGAATTTACAACCGTGCTTGTGGAACTTGCTACAATCGAATAAGTGGTTTTTTGAAAAGCTTGATCATGAACACTTGTGATGGATTTTTCTCCAGAATGGGATCTGCTGAGAGTTAAGAACATTCTCCTTTATGTGTTGAACCAGCTGACTTGTGTGCTTGGAGACTCTTTGTGTTTTTGTGGCTACTATTAAAGTTAGGATTTCAACTCTTTCATTTGTTGTTATGCAGACGTGATGATGCCAAGCTAAGCGGGTGCGGATCCGAGCTCTCTCCAAGAAAGTTTCAAAGAAATTGGTTGTTAACGGATTTATTATGATGTTGTATTGAAATCGAACCTATGACCTTCCGCACACCGGTCGGACGCTCTACCACTGAGCTACAGGAGACTCATGGGAGCTAAGGCCATATAACTAGGTTAACCTCCTGTTGGGGGAACTCGGAATTTTTTTCCGAGTAGCTTGTGTCACTGACAGAATAATATATTTCTCATATGCATCGACATTTGCATCGACACACAGACGTTTCCGTCAAAGTGGAAAGTCGCTAAAGTGACTCCCATTTTCAAGGGACAAGGATGTAGAGGCGACAATAATAACTATCGACCGATATCAGTGCTTCCGATACTATCTAAACTTTTCGAGAAGCACATATGCGAGCACTTGTGCAACTTCCTTAAGGACAATGCCTTACTTCATCACCTCCAGTCTGGATTTCGTAGATTCCACTCCACGGAGACTGCCCTTGTTCGCCTAGTCGATCAACTGCTTCTTGACTTGGATAGAAACAGGGCATCGGGACTAGTATTTATCGATTATAAGAAAGCGTTTGACCTTATTCATCACAAACTGCTTCTAACGAAACTGAATGCTTATGGGGTGCATGGTAAAGAACTTGACTTACTCCGCAATTATCTAAGTGGGCGTTCACAGTATGTTCACACAAATGGATATCGTTCCTCCAAAAGTGCCGTGACGGCTGGAGTGCCACAAGGGAGCATACTGGGCCCCATTTTGTTTCTCATATTCATAAACGATCTTCCTGCTGCAGCACAACATTCAATAGTCGACATCTACGCGGACGACACTACACTCAGTTTTTCATCAGATGAGCCTACTGCCATTACATCAGCCCTTCTGCAGGACTTAGACAACGAATCGGAGTGGTCAAAAAGCAACAAGATGGTCATAAACGCTGCTAAGACGAAATGTCTGCTGGTGACAGGAAAACGTCTAGGAAGCAAGATTGTCAATCCATCATTAAACCTCAAAGTAGACAACTCAGACATAGCACAGGTAGACAGTCAGAAACTGCTAGGGGTTACCATCGATAAGCACCTAAGCTTTGATGTACACGTCGAAGAACTGTGTAAGAAGTTATCCCAGAGAATAGCAGTGCTAAGGAAGATAAGAAGATTCCTTCCTATCGAACAGCGCTTAGTATACTATAACGCAATGATCAAGCAGGTAATGTTATATGGATCCACAATTTGGTCAAGCTGTTCTGCAGTTAACATGATGAGAGTCCTAAAGCTGCAAAAACGTGCTGCACGAGTCATCCTAGGAGTTGATACAAGATCGAATAGTGTGAAACTCTTTAAGAAATTAGAATGGCTCCCGTTTTATGATGAGGTTAAGCTGAACAAGTGTGTATTAGTATTTAAGCGCTTACAAGGAAGCTGCCCTGCATATATGTATGACCTTATTAAATGCAACGCAGACATAAACACACGCTCTGGTCGCCATAGCTCCACAAATCTTGTTTGCCCTCGCTTCAAACACGAAACCGAGGGAGGGCGAACCTTCAGCGTCACAACAACAAGACTATGGAACTCTTTACCAAACAACATAAAGAAAGAGGGAACATCAGTGACTATTTTTGAAAATTATCTTAAAAGTTATTTTTTATCACGCTACGAAGAAGTGGATCATTTTAGTCTAAATTTAATGTAAGTTATATCCTTCGTAGATTTTTAATTAGCATTACCAAATTTGAATCCGATATTGTAATTTTTAGCATTGCCCAATTTTAATCTGATATTGTAATTTTTAGCTGTATTTCATTATTCTTGTCCATAATTTAGGTATATTGATTGTATTTGTATTTATAGTTTTAGGACGGAGGGCCACTAGCTCGTCAGTTGAATTACTGTTATGTGTCACCCTCCCCAAATAAAGTTGATTATTATTATTATTATTATATTTCTGCCAAGCTTAAAATATACCATCATTTCTTTCCATTTATTCCATGTGTACACATGTAAGCTACGGCTAGATGATGAATTTTTTATTTTCGAAAATACTGTATCTAGATTGGAATATTACAGCATCATATTCATTCACAGAATAATCGAAAACTTCAGCCCAAGTGCGTATAAACCAATTCTAGTTTAGCTTGCGATTTCTCGATCAAGCGAAAGTCAGTTTATTTACATTGTGGCCAGACAATAACAAACAAACGTGACATATAAAGCTTAGTTCGGAATGCGTTGAGAAATTCATCGAATTGTAAACACGCTGTAAACACTGCAAATTAACTCTACACCATTTAGTGAGTCAACTAACTTTTTCTCTTTGTTACTCATTAACCCAGTGAAAGAGAGGAGATCATTCTTTCCCCAGATGTTCGTTTTCACATATTCTTGTCGCAACAGAGTAGTATGTGCTGTTCCGTGACGATTTGATAATTAAATTAGTTGTTGTTTTTCAGTTGATTGAAAATTTACTATTTATTTCCGGCTTAATTGGTTCCTTGTAAATGTGGATCTTGAAAGCAAAATGAAATGAGATACTTGTTTTTCAAGGGGTCTTGAGATTTATATAGTTTTCAACAGTTTGGAGCGTGAAAAAGTTACTAATGTCAAGAACTTTCAACCTCTCAGGGTTCTCATCAGGACATGATAATGAATATTATATTAGTTACTACGTTAAAAATGCTGGACAAGTAAAAAATAAAACGTGAACATTGATTCCCTAAGGTGCTGTCTAAATTGTCTTATTGTTTGAGTTTCTTAGGATAATAGTATTTAATTAGGATATGTACACAGTTCTATTCTTACGCTCTGGTGATTCGTCTTTGTGTATTTCTGTATATATACAAGATATAAAATAATAACGTTTTGATGCTTGGCGAATCGTGCCAGTCCTGTCACTCCGGTCTCAAAATAACTTTGTTGCTCCGCAACTCATTGTGCTGCTCCTCGTTGGATCCTGGTCTGGGGGACGGCTCCCTGCAAATATTCCAGTTTACTGTTCATCTGGAGTTGCTCCATTCCAGGGTCTTTTGGTAGTCCCGTCACGATGTTGACTCCCTCCTGCACCTGCCGGGTCAGCGGGTCCTTGTGGGTGCTGGTGATCCACATGTCGAAGGTCACCTGCCGGCCACTGTGGTAGTCAACCACGTGTTTGCCCAGGGCATTGTTTGTCGGTCGCGTGATGGTCGCGTGATCTAGTGCTCAGGTGAATCCATTTCACGCCGACTCGCCGATAATTTAATTAAAACCAGAGATGTGTTGTTGTTGTTTTTTACATCAGATGGTGTTTTGCTGTGGGTTGAAGTCAATAAATTGTTTTTTTCTTCAAGATATTCGAAGTATTTGAGGGTTTTTTAGTGTTCTGCTATTTGAACTGTTGTTAAATTCAAGCACTTTAGTGTATGAATAATAAATATTTTGTAGCATGTCTGGGTCAAAAGGTCACAATGAAATTCACATGAATATTTGAAGGCTTTCAAATACAAGGGTGTAAAATTCACTATTTGCTACACATTTTAAAATCGTTACACTAAATATTTCTTGGTACTGTAAACCAGACCTAAAAGGGTGAATATTTTAAATTTGAAATAAAATATTTTTATTGACCGTTGTCCCATGTAACGCACATGTCCGTTTCATCTGTCATGCATTCTTATGTAACTGTTTCTTTGTCTAGTAGCATTAAATATAGGGAAGAAATATGTAAAGACAATTTCTCGTCACAGATCAGATCCATATTTGTTCTAGCAATGGGGCGTTGTACTCTAGCTCACCCACCAGCTTAGGTTGGGATGGAATGAAGAGGGGGAGGGTGGCTGACAGCTATGTGTCACCTACATGTATATTGATAGGTGGGTGATTCCTTTGAGTGATAAGACAAGATTTTACCTCCAAAAGCGAGGTGGTTTCATTCGACGGAAAAGCGGGGAAAATAGTTGATGAACTCTTTCTCGTCCCCAGGGCTCCCCGGGGGCCAGCTGGAAAATAAGGCTGGACTGTCGACTAACTTGCAAATTTTGATAACAAGTCTCAAAGTTATAAATTAAACACTTTGCACTAGCCACTAGGGTTTGAGAAAATGCTACGTCAGCAATTTTTTTCCAGATTGAAGCTTGATTATCTCTGAAAAATGCGTGGTTACCCCCAATTTTCTTTTTGGATTCCAATAGTCCTTGCTAATATCTGCTTTTCCCGCATTGTCATAAACCGCGCAAAAATACCTTGGTATTAGGAGGCACCGTCCTTGAACACTTTACACTAGCCATTGAGTCTCTGGGTTCCTATTTTGTAATTTGAAATAAATTAATCTTTGACTTTCATTAAAATTTTCCTGAATTGCTTCATACGAGGAAGAAATGTTGACGCCATACAGATGCGCGATGCTACTATACGGATGAATGCTTGGATTCCACGTTCGTGCTACTGAATTTCATGGGGCGACTTTACCAACTATGTTTTAATAGGGATTGGTAGATATAGGTTCTCGGTAAGATGTTGTCAAATTGCTAGTTGGCTTTGACCAGGTTACTATGAAAATAGCCTTTGGAAGTTGGCCTGCTGTAGTGTGTGGACACATTCCAGAGTTCTTCAATGGCTCTCTGTTCAGTCCCACTTTGCTCGTTTGAACAACAAAATCCACCGTCTTTTTCGTATTTTCTCGACCATCGCTATAAAATGGTATAGTATACCTTCCTCTAAATCTGGGGTGTTGCTATAACAGCCAGCAACGCACCTGGAAGGCGTTTCTTTACACTTTTTGAATGTGTATTGCCTCTTCCTGAAGGAAATGAGGATCCAACATTCCCGAGTAGATGTCACAACAGCCGCTGGACCCATTCCCCTCAAACGCATGCTACAAAACGGCAGCATTTTAGGTGCAATTTTTGAGACTTTGCCGGGGTACAGAAAATCAAGGATTCAACCAAATCTAAAAATTTCTTTGCAGTAAAGTTTCAAATAACAAGTAAATTTATTTAAAGTAATAAAAACATTTGGGGCTACATGCACTTTAATGTTTATCAGTTGTTGAATATTAATTGACAATGGACTGATAGCGGCTGTCATGGGCGCCTTTACAAGCTGATGTCCGATCTCACCCCTGAGTTGAATTGTAAAGTGCATTTGGGCTTT